TATATTATCTAAGAAAAAATAAAATAAAATATAATAGACTAATATTAGATAGTTAATGATATTTAAGTTTATTTAATATATTATAATTTTATATAATGTTTTAATTAAAATTATTTTTTATCACATATATATTCATATTTATATTTAATTAATTATATATCTTTCTTTAATTATTTTAAAAAATTATTTTTAAATTTTGTAAATTTCTATATTTTACATCTCATTTGAATTTTTTATTTTTAATTTTAAAATAAAGAATTAAATAATTTCAAATTTTAATAATATTTCTAATAAACTAATTATTTTCTTAATATATAAAATAAAAATAAATATATATATATTATTTTGTCATAATTGAAAATAAAATAAAAAAAAGTATTCATAAAAAAATCACTATATTTATTAACCATTTATAACAATAAAATAACAAATAAAAGATTTTAAAAAAAAAACCATTAATAATATTAAAAAATAAAAAATTCTATATGAGTTAATAATTATCCGAATAAAATTAATCAGATAGTGAAGAGAGATATTTAAAAATCAACATTCCATTATAAAAGTAAATAAAAAAGAAAATAAAAAAAAAGTATAATATAAAATAATACAATAGAGATTTTTCTCAATAAAATGAATAACCATCGAAACAACAAAAACACTAAAGTGTAAAGAAAATTAATTCTAAAAATATATTTATGCCTATATTTTTAAAAAATAAAATAAATAGTAAATCATTGAGATGATAAAAAGAAAGCCTCATAGGCTTAAATGGTTAAAGGAATCATTGAAAGATTTTGCATTAATAAAAAAGAATATATATTTATTTAGAAAAAGAAAAATGCCATCACATAAAGACATTATAGGATGTGACTGTAAAAGAGTTCCAATAGAATTATTGTAACAAAAAAATAAATTAATAATCATAATAAAAAAAAAAATAAAAGAGAAAAAATGCCACTTTCAAAAAAACTAAGTGGCCAAATAAATTGTGGGGAAAACTGTTGGAATAGGGCAGTATGTACAGAATGTTGTAATTTATCATGTAGATGTGGAGATTTATGTTAAAATAGACGTTTTTAAAAACATGAAGATGCTTGTGTTTATCCTTATCCAACATCAGGAAAGGTAGAAAAATATTCTATGTTATGTAAATTTATATTGAAAAAAAAAGGGATGGGGTTTATGTGCAGGTTAATATATTCCAAAAGGAACATTTATAATTTAATATATTGGAGAAGTTTTCGATATTAATAGTGAAGAAGGAATAAAAAGAGTCAAAGATTATAGTGTAATTTTGAATTATATTATATATATATATAAATGTATATTTATATAAAATTATATATATATATATATTTATATATTTATATATTTAAATCTATCTTTATATTTTTTTTTTTATTTTATTAGAGATCAACATGCACTTATTTAATGAAAATTGATAAAAATGAAGTTATTGATCCTACTTTTAAAGGAAATTTAGCCCGTTTTATAAACCATTCATGTGATCCGAATTGTATAACGTAAAAATGGCATGTTTTAGGTGAAATTTGTATCGGTATATTTGCTATTAAAAATATTAAAGAAGATGATGAACTTACTTTTGATTATTAATTTGATTCATATAAAACTCCTTTAACAAAATGTTTATGTGGAAATGTTAAATGTAAAGGATATTTAGGTATTTTATTTTTCAGATAAAAAAAATATATTAATATTTTTTTTTATATATATATTTCAGGATATATACCTACTGATTATACTTTTGAGGAATGGGAAGAAAGATTAGATAGTCTTCCTTGTGAAATTTGCTAAGGAAATACAGAAGATGATGATGATAAATTACTATTATGTGATAGATGTAACAACGGTTTTCATATATTTTGCTTAAATCCTCCTTTGAGTGAGATTCCAAAGGAAGATTGGTATTGTTAGAATTGTCTGGCTTATATTAAAAATATAAACTAGGAATAAGTTTAATAAGAAAACAAAGAAAAACTTAAAAAGAAAAAATCTAAAAATATTTTACAAAATAGAATCGAAACTATTGATTAATAAGAAGAAGAGGAATAAATAAAATTTTCAGAAGAATATGAATAGGTTTATGAGTTTTAGAAATAATTGGAAAGTAAAGCTATAGAGGAATTATATGATATTAATCTAGACTAAGATGATGATGAACTTGATAAATTAAAAATTAAAAGAAGAAAAGAAATGCATATTTAAGATTAAAAAGAATAATAATTATTATAAGAAAAAATTGAAAAATAAAAAAAATAGAAATAAAAAAGTTAATAATAATTTATTTATTTATATTTTTAAACAAAAAAATTAGATGAAAATATTATTTAAGAATAATAATAAGCCGAAGAATCTGATTCTGAATCTGATTAATCAGATATTGTAGATTAATAAGATAATGTTTTATCAAATAAATACTTGTATAAATCTCCTAATCCAAAAATACATGTATTATATATATATATATATTTTTTTTAAATATAAAGAAAAATTTAGATGTAATTATAAGAATAAAAATCAAAAATTAAAAAGGAAATTTCATCCTCACCAATTAAAAAAAATAGAGGAATTTTAAATTCGGAAATATTTAAATAAGTAGAAAATAATTATGAGTAATTTTTAAATACAAATCCTTAATTTCTCCAAAAACTTAATTAATTTACAGATTTAAGCAATGACGTTTCCAGAAAAACTATAATAATCCTTAATAAGTTAGAAATGCATCTTTTTAGGACTAATTTTGCACTTTTTGAGAAATTAGGAATAAGAACATTTTGGGATCATAGCTAGAAAGTGGCTCATGATTTATTTATGAAAAATACTGAATTATCTATATTGGGAAATGATTAATAAATTTAAATTTTCACAGAAGTAATAGATTCTATGTAAGAAATAGTTAAATAATTAAAAAATGAAATGGGAATTATAGAAGCTTATATTTCTATTCCAGCGATTTTTTTAAAGAAAATTATCGGATTAAGCCACTTTAATATTAATAGAATGGAAAAATAACACTAAGTGACTATTTTTTATAATAAAAGATTTATTACTGATGAATGTTATCCTTTAGAATAAAAAGTTAATCTATTAGTTAAAGGTACTAAGGAAAGTATTATTAAAGTCCATTAAGATATTACCGAAAAAATAAGTACATTAGAAGTTTAAAGAATTTATTTAACTCCTTGGGAAACTAAAATGGTACTTAATTCTTTATAAATGCTCAAAAGAAAAAATCATAAATCTGAATTTAGATTACATAGAGATAATCCTTTTAAAGATATTAATCATCCATTTTTTTTTATTTAAGTTAAGGAAAAGGAACTTACATTGATTGGAACAAGAGAGTATTTTATATATATAAAATAATTATATATTTATATTTATATATATTTGTATTTATATTTATATTTATATATATATATATATATATATATATATATATATATATATATTTATAAAATAAAAAAATAGGGAAAATATAAAAACTTAATAAGAAATTCTTAATATAATAAATAATACAAATAAAGAAAGGGAAGAATTTTAATGTTCTCATTATTTGATGCCTTCTTATTTAAAAGGAGCTTCAGCTTAAATAAAATAATAAATAGAAAATTAAGTTCATGGTTTAAAAGTGTAGATTTTTGATCCGACTCATCCTCGTAAAAATATGACTGTGACAATGTGTGGGTTATAATAATAAAGACAAAAAGCTAAAAAAATAATGCTTAAAATTATCGAAGATCTTTCTTAAGAATAAAAACATGTTTTTTTTTTTTTTAATTCTTTAATTTTTTTTTTTTTTTCAAGAAATTTAATTTGGAAGCTTTTTAGGATTAAATGATGTATTAGATGACTAAATATTTATTTAAATATATGTAAAATAGCTTTCTTACTAATGATACTTCTTTTATGAAAAATTGGGATATTATTTCACCTTATTTTTCTCATGCGTAAGCTGATAATAATTGGTTTTTTAAAAGTGTTTAAAATTTCTTATTTTCGGATCATGATACTTAGCTTTATATTTGCTTTGTTAGTAAAAGATTGGAATTAATTTAGAAGTTTTTCAAAAAATAATAGTTCTAATATCATTATTAGTAATAAGGATGGACTAAAAGGGAATAATTTTCTGTAGGAAATTCAATTCATAATTTAGAAATTGAAGGTTTAGAAATATAAAAAGAAGATAGCTAATAATTAAACGAAGAAGAAATTAAAAATATTATGGAAATTGAAGAAATTAATGATTTTAATAAAATAAAATAAAATATTATTAGTTTAATTAGTTTTATACTTAAAAGATTAATTCAAAAAAATATTGGAATACTCAAAAATTATTAGACTGTTTTTACAAAAAAATAACTTGTTTAACCATATTTTTATAGAGATAAATATCCCACTATAAGCTTTACTGGAGGAGTAATTTAATAATATATATATATATATATATATATATATATATATATATATATATAAATATTAAATTTATACTATTAATATTAAATAGCCACATTTTAATAGAGATAATTTACACTAAGAATTAGGTGAAATGCAAAGTTAGGATGAAAATTATTATATGAGATATAATAGAATGTAAACTAATTAGTAAAGTATTAATAAAAGAAGTAGTAGTAGTAATATTTATTAAATTCCTTTTTACAAAAAATCTAATAGTAGAACGAATTCAATAGAGTAAATATATATAAATAAAAATATTAATATATAAAAAATAAAATATAAATAGATATATATTTAAAAATATAAATATTAATATATATAATAAATATATATTATATATAAAAAAATTTAATATATATATATATATATATATTTATTAATATTTTTTATACTTACATATATAAATATTTAATTAGTATTTATATATAAATTTCTTTTTATTTATATATTTAATAATAGTAAGAGTCGATCCAGGAGTAGAAGTAGAAAACCTCCTATTTATTAATAATAATAAATAATATAATAATAATAATAACAACATTAAATGCAATTGTAATAAGTAATTTAGTCTGATAATTTAATTCATAAAGGAATTTATCGTAAATATTAAAATACATAAAGATTATCTCCATTATATTCTCGAGGAGGTGGAAATTTGAACATGAAAAAATCTTACATTAAATAATAATACGGAAAAAGCAATTCAAATGCACGTTATAATATCCCAAAAAGGTTAAAAATTTATAGAAACACTCACTATAATAATAGAATGCGGTATTATAAAAATAATAAAATTTCATCTAGTGAGTCATCCAATTAAAATTAATCTTCTTCAAGAAGCTGCTCTTCTTCTTCTTAATCAAATTCTAAGTCTAAAGAAAAGGAAATTTTTTCTGAATAATAAAGCCTTTTGGAGAAAAGATAGAAAGGCTTGATGAAAAATAATAGGGTCTCTAAATGGGATTTAAAAGGGGAAGATAATTAAAATAATTAAATAGATTAGTAAAGAAAATAAAGTAGTTTTTCAAAAATAAGCAAGTTTTCTGAAAATCCTTAAAATAAATAAAATGAATAGAAATTAATAATATAGGAAAATGTAAAATTATAATAATAATAGTCTTTTTAAGAAAACTTTAAAGATAAAAGTTAAGAAAAAATTATTAAATAATCAATGGAAAATTAAAATTATTAAGTTTTAGAAAATAAAAAATAAGAAATAGATAAATAAGAAAATAATAAATAATTATTATCATTATAAGATACTCCAAGTATTATAAAAAAATAAATTCAAGAATCATAAAATATAAGTAAATAAATACAAGATAATTTTAATATAAAAAAATAAATATAAGAAACATTAAATATTAATTTATAAATTCAAGAAAACTTGAATACAAATAAATAAATATAAGAATAATAAAATGTTAAATATATATATGAAAATATAAATAAATAATTATAAGATAATATTAATAAGTAATTTTAAGAAAGTATTAACAAATCTTTACAAGAAAACGTAAATAAGTAAATTTAAGAAAATATAAAATAAATAATATAAGAACCATAAAATATTATATAGGAAACTTAAATTATAAAATAAGAAAAAATAAACATCAAATAATTTCATTCTGAAGTATAAAAATCTTTATTAGAAACAAAATAATAATAAAATGCATCTGAACAAACGTAATAAAATTAATCTCCTTAAAATTAAAACAAATAAAAGCAAATAATATATAATTAATAACAATATAATTAATAGTAATAATTGTAATAATAGTAGTAATTGTAATAATAATAATAATAATAATAATAATAATAATAATAATAATCTTAATCTTAATCTTAATCTTAATCTTAATCTTAATTTTAATAATTCTAATAAATTTAATAACAACAACCTTAATAATAATAAAATTAAAAATAATAAACATTTTATAATAAATCATTATAAATTCAATCTCCAACCGATTAATTAAATTTTTCATTAATACTTCAATAATAGTACTAATAATAAGTTTTAAAAAGCTAACAACAACTTGAATAATAATGGTAAATTTAATAAACTCTGTAAAAATAATAGCAAGATTATCTGCATTATCAAAAGCATATTTAGTAATAAAAATTACCTTACTCTGATAAACCAATTTTAACACCAGAATAACAATAATAATATATATATTTACATAATGCTTTATTTAATCCCGAGTTTTAGAAAAATATTGATATTAAAAAAGAAGAGGAAAAACCTGAAAATATACAACTTTAATTAATAAATAATTAAATTTAATACATGTAATAACTTAAATAGTAACTGTAACAATAACAATAATAAAATGAATAATAAAAATAATAATAATAAAACGAACTATAAAACAATAATAATAATAGTAATAATAATAATAACAATAATAATAGCAATAATAATAATAATAATAATAATAATAATAATAATAATAATAATAATAATAATAATAATTGTATTAATAATAATAATTATAATAATAGTAATCAAATTATCAATAATAAAAGCAATAATAATAGTAATAAATCTAATAATAATTATAATAATAAAATATTTCTTAATAAAATCCTTAATAATAGCAATAAAACTCATTATTATAATCAAATCCTCCTATATAAGAACAATAATAATTATTAAAAAAGAAAAATTATAATATAATTAATGCTATAGAAAATACTTCAAGTGATCAAGATTCTTCACCTCTTACCAGTAATTCGAATAATCTGTAAAAAAATACAAAAAAAAATAAGAAAAATCTCCAAGAATAAGAAGAAGGAGAATAATGTAATGCAGAAGAAGAAATATTTCCTCATCAAAAAAAATCTCGTAAAAAATAGCGTATTCCTCCTAAAATGCGTTCTCCTTCTTAATCTTAATCTAATAATTCCCCCGAATATAGAAAATATTAAACTATGTAACCCATGAAGATGAAAAAACTTCCTTAATATCAATATAATTAATCTTTTTATTCCAAGTTCTATAAACCTGGGTGCCAACAATAGACTCCGTATGGTCCTTTTTCAAATCAATATAGGCCTTCTTTGTCAAGAAGAGGTTCCGAATATCCACATTAAGGTAAAAAATATAGAGAAATAAGCCACCATCCACGCCGTTTTGGTGAAAAGAGAAGAAGATTCAAATACTCTAATTAATAAGGAGTTATTTAATAGCTAGGAAGTTCTTCTGAAAGTAGTGTTATTTCTAAAAAGAAGGAAATATCAAGATCTTCATCGTCTTCTTCGTCAGTTTCTTCTTAGAAAAAGAAGCTTATAGATAAAAAAGAAGAAGGTGAAGAAGAAGAAATTAGCTAAGAAATAATAAAAAATTAGAAAAAAATAAATAATAATAATACAAGTAAATAAAATAATAGTAATAAGGATAAAAAAAGCAAAGAAAAGAAGAAAAAGAAAAATAATAAAAAAAAAAGTAAAAAACATAAAAAAGTTTCATCTTCTTCGTCTTCTTAGTCTTCATTAGATTCTTCTTTTTAATAAAAAAATACGAGAAATATTCATTCAAAAATAAATACTAATAATAGCAATATTAATTATAGATAATAACAACAATAATAGTAATAATAATAAATGCATTTTTATAGAAAATAAAAAAATATGTCAAACAAATCTAGATATCATAAATAATAAAGGAATAATAATTATAATAAAGGAGGAAATCCTTAAATTATAAATAATTTGTCGGAAGAAAGGTCTTTTATGAAAAAAAGTAGTTCATCAGATTCTAATTTTTCTAATAATATGTAATAATAAGGAGGAGGAAAAATATACGGAAAAAATGATTAACCATTTAGTTCTTAATAATAAAATAATCCATATATTAATAATTCATATTATTATAATAGGAGGAGAAATTCACCTACTCCGCCTTCTATGTAGTCGTAAATGAATTTACCTTTATAACATTTATAAAGGAATAATACTTATTCAGGAAAGTTTTAAGGATTTAAATAAAGTGGTGGTGGAGGTTAATAATAATAGTATTTTATGTAAAAAGGAGGACATAGGAATAACTCAGGAGGAACTAGAAATTTTCATACAAATTAACGATAATGGAATAGACCTTCATATTCTCCGCCAAATAAATATCATCCAAATGATATAATTAGACATAGATCAAAGTCTAGAAGTTATATTAGAAAAAATATTAAAAGTAGTGAAAGTGAGTCTTCTTAAGGTTGATTTTTTTTTTATTTTAATTATTATATAGATATATTAATATGATGCATTATTGTTAGTTTTTTTTATATTTAATATTTAAATATATATTTAATTTTAGTTTATATATATTAAATTTTTATTTTGTTTTATTTGCTTTTGATATATGTTCTTTTTAAACTAAATATATAAAATAAATATTGGGCTGTTTGTAATAATAAAATTATTTTTAATTTATTTTTAAACCATTTTTTGTATAAAAAATTATTAAAGTAATACTATTAAAAAATGAAAAAAAAAAAATTAATTTTTATTTATATAAAATAAAATTTATACAAAAAATAAGACATTAAACTCTATATAAAAGACCAAAAATTCCAATTACCATAATAGTTAAATCGCCTTTTATAATATAGTTACTTTTTCCATGCCTTAAATCAACTTTTCAAAATCCTTTATAAATTTTATTATCACCATAAAAAGGTTTCCTGTAAAATTGTATGAAAAAAATAAATAAATGCTTTATACTTTATCTTTTTAAAATTCCTTCAATAAAATAATCTGTTTAATAGCAGTTCACCTCTCCCTAACCATATTTAAGTCTTTTTTCTTCTTCTAACTAATATATTTAGCACCTTCTAGTATTGCTTCCAAGCCTAAACAATTTTATATATTATAAACATGCTGTCATACATAAAAATAATCCATTCAGTATAAAAAGCATTCGTTTTGTTATAGATATTGGCATTTATTTTCCAATCATATAAAATTTTATATTCTTAAATCATTCTTTAAATTCTTTAAGATTATAGATATTATTTTTGGAAAAAAAACTATATAGTAGAAAATATCTTTGATCATTTAGTAAAATTATAATCGTATTTAAAAGAAAAAAAAATAATACATCCAAACATCTAATTCCTATTTATTCAATCTAATTTACTAATTATTGCATTTATTAACTTCTTTTAGCTTTTTGAGATCTATGTGGGTTTTATTTAAGAAAAGATTTAGGAAATAATTATTTGTTTTATTAAGATTTATTAATATCTAAAATACTATTATTTATATTATTTTTTTGTTAAACTAAAAATTTATTCATAATTTTTTGTTATTAATATATTTATAGTTTTTTTATTTTTTAAATACTATATTTATTTTTTATAATTATATTTATTATATCAAAAAAAAAAAAAGATTTAATTTTAATATAATATAAAATTAAAAAAAAAAATATAATTTAATAAAAAAACAAAGGAAAAAAAAAAAAATGGGAAGAGTAAGAACAAAAACCGTAAAAAGAGCCGCGAAATCATTAATTGAACATTATTTCTCAAAAATGACTAATGATTTCCATTTCAATAAAAAAATACTTTCTGAAGTAGCCTAAGTACCCTCAAAAAGACTAAGAAATAAAATCGCTGGTTTTGCTACTCATTTAATGAAAAGAATACAAAAAGGACCTGTTAGAGGTATTTCTTTAAAGGTTTAAGAAGAAGAAAGAGAAAGAAGACTCGATTTTGTACCTGAAAATTCAGCTATTAATGTTGAATAGGTATATATTGATAATGATACTAGAGAAATGCTTAAAAAAATTGGAATGAATAATCTTCCTGGATTGGCTTAATAAAAAAGATAATGAGATATTTTTACAATCATTATTCCATATTTTATTTTTTAAATAACAATAAAAAATTATATATAAACATTTAATATTTTATTTTATATAAAAAATGCATTGTTATTTTATTTATTGTTTTATTTTTTTATATATTTAAATTAGGCAATTTTTTTTAATTTAAAATAAATTTTTAAATCATGATTAAATATATTATATATATATATATATATACATATTTAAATATATATTTATATCATTTAAAAAATAAAAATAAATCCTTTAATAAATATCCTATTATATATTTAATTTATTCATATAATTTTTTTGAAATAAATTACATATTTTTTCAAGTTTTTTTATTTTTAAAATATAAAATAAAAAATAATTTTTTTTTTTTTTAATAATATATTAAAAATATTTAATATATCAAGTTAATTTTATAATTATAATCTTAAAATAAATAAAAAAAAATTAAATGTTTTTATTTTTTATTAATTAAAATAAAAATATGTATATAATGTTTATAAGCAAAATTCAAAACAAAAGTAAAATATTTCTTTCATTTTTCTTTTTAAATTTCTCTAAATTTAATAGACTAAGTAATACTTAATCCATCTACATTTGTATAATCCAAAACTTTAAAAATTACAACTTCATAATTCAATTTATCTGGTATTAATACAAAAGATGCAAATTATCCTCTAAAAGGCTTTTTTAGTTTAAGTCCATCCATCCTATTAAACCTAAATTCACAATACATTGCTTCATTAGTATGATTTTCTGCAACTAAATAAAAGAATCCCTCATCTGTTTAATTAATACATATCCAAGCAGCATTCTTTTCATTTTATTCATTTCCTTTGATATATTTTCTTCCTTTTTTCCCTACCTATAAAGAATGATCTCTATAGACTTCTTTAATCATATCTGGACATTCATACTAAGTGATTTCTATGAATTTAACTTATTCAACACCATATGCGCTCAAAACGAAATCGGAGATATTATTATAAATCCAGTTAGCCTTTACATATACTAAATATTCACCTTATTATAAAACTTAATTTTCAAAATCTGCTGTCCATACATACATTTCATTATCTTATTAGCCTTCTATGTAAGTTATTTTTTAAACACCATTTTCATCAAATTCTCTTTTAGCTAAAATTAATGTTAATTTGGCATATTAAAAGTTATTTTAAAATTCTTAAGAGTAAAATCTCTTTGATTTTTGATTTACTAATATATAGTATTTACCTTATTGAGTAACTGTAAATTTAAAAAATTTTCCGTCTTTTTTGCTAGTAGAAGCACTAATAGAACTATATTAAAAATCGTCATGAACATAACAAATTTATAAATCACTAAAATATTTGCAAAAATCTTCAAATTAAATAAGGAAAATACCTTCTAAACTTTAAATTGAATTTCCTAGTTAAAATAAATATATATATATATAAATATATAAATATATAAATATATATATTTATATATATATTTGTAAATAAATTTATATATATTTTTATTTTTTTATAATTTATATTTTTATATATTAATTCTTTTATATATAATTGTTATATTAATATATTTTTTTAATTTTTTACTTGTTAATTTAATTTTTATTAATATATATTTTTTTTTTATTTAAAATATTTATATTATTATAAAAAAAAATTATATTAATCATTTATATAATAAAATTCATTTTTTTATATTTTTTATTTTATAATTTAATTTTTTTTTTTCTTATAATATTTTTTTTTAATTTATTTAATATATATTATTATTTTAATATACTTGTTCCTTCTAAATCTAAAGATTATTTTTAATCAAAATTTAAGTTTTTGTATTCCTAACTATTTTTCGACCATCTTCCATTCCATTCAAATGAACTATTTGTACTTTTTCTGATTCTTAGAATTTTAAAATTTCCTTACTATGTTTATAAATTATATGCTCCCAATAAAGAATAACAATGTCCTGGAATAATTCCATTTTCCTTTAATAAATTTTCAATTTTCAAATTATTAGAAGATCCACAAGTCATAACAAATTTATATTTTTCTGCTTCAATTAATTTCTCCCAAATAAAATCTCTTTCATGTTCTTAATCTAACCAAAAAGTTTTTGTAGGTGCCCCAGTTAAATCATGTAAAACATCATTAGTAATTCCAGTTTCAATTTAACTATATGAATCATTTAATTTAGCCCATGCTTTTTCCAATAAAATTGGCCATAATTCTCCATCTATTCCTCTAGTAAATGCTGGTCCTCTTTATGGTGAAATACATGGAATAAACTCATCGACGATAATTTCCTTCCATTCACCTCTAAAGCATATCATAACTGAATGAATACCATAAGGATTTGCTTAAGAAGTGAATAATTTTTTAATTCTTTTAGGAAATTCAGCCAAAGAAACTATAGCTGCTATAAAATAAATATTATTAATATAACCTTATCTAATATTTATAGGACTTATTTACTCTTTAAATAATTAATAGTCTTAAAAATTTGCTATTTCTTTAGGATGGTACCATCTGATGGCTTTCCATGATTCTCTGGTGGAAAAATCGTTTCCAAGTAGACTTGAAATTTCGTGTGGGAATTCAGGGTCTTTGAACATTTACGAAATTTCTTCTTTTAAATGATTTTTATTGTATAATGATGATTTAGCTGGTTATTATTTATTTTACTTTTTTTCTTATTATTCAAGTTCGCAACTTTTTAACGTTCGGCGGAATAAACCACTTTCTAAAAACTCACAACTCTTCTTCAGGACTGATAAATAGTCTTTTTTTCCGATTTAAATGTAATTGTTGATTGTTTCTTGGTCATATATAGTCAAAGGGTCATATTAAAAACCCTCGAAAGGAAGCTTTTCTTCATCAAAGCGTCTTTTTAAGCTTTCTTCATTTACTTTTAGGTTTATATTGACATCTAGTTGATTCATTGAAGCTTATTAAGAGGAAATTATAGGCTATACTTTATTGGGAAGTTTGTTTAAGTTTGAATTTATTGGTTAATTTATGGTAAATGGTAAGAGTGGATTAGGTAAGTTGTAAGGTAAATGAGATGAAGGTATATATGATTTATCAAAATCCTAAGTGTTTAAATTAAAATTTTATGTATAATTATTGGAACCACCATATTAGTGTTAAAATTATTATTATTGTAAATTTTATTAATATTATTAATATTAATATTATTATTATTATTATTATTATTATTATTATTATTATTATTATTATTATTATTGTTATAAAGTTTATAATGGTTATTATTGCTTATATTGTTATTATGGTTATAATGGTTGTAAAGGTTATTATGCTTATTAAGAATTATTTGATACAAAAGATGATTAATAACTATTTATTGCAGGGTTTGTGTACTCATATGTGTTTTTTTAATTATATTACATTTTTATTTTTACTTATGTTATTATAATATATAAATTTTTTTATTTTATTTTTATTTTACTTATTTATATTTTTTTTATTTTTGATTTTTTTTAATTTTTTTTTGATATAGTTTTTTTTCTTTTTCTTTTTGATTTTTGATATTTTTTTTTAATTTTTTTATTTAAATTTTTGTTTTTTGTTGTTTTTTTAATTATTATATTAATATTTATGAATATTTTCAATTTTTTATTTTATTTAATTTTTCCTCCCTTTTGTTTTTATATTATTTTTTATTTGGATTTGTTTTTTTATTTTAAAAACGAAAGAATTGTAGATAATTTTATTTAATTTTTTATAATTTTTATAATAGATAATTAATTTATTTTTAAAAAATATTATTTAATTGTCATTAAGTAAATTTTTTTAAAATAATTATACAATATTTTATATTTTTATTTTAAAGATAAGTTTGAATTAATATTTATTATTATTCTTTATATTTTAATATTTTTTTGATAATTATTTTTATATATAGAAATATCTATAAACTAGTTAAATATTTCTTTTAATTTTATATTCTATTTATTAATATTAATTTATATTTATTTAAAACAATATATATAACTTATATTATTTTTATATGAAAAAAAAAAAAAACTACTATTTGAATATAAAAATAAAAAATTATTATTTATAGAAAAAAAAAAAAACATTATAAAAATATAATAATAATACTAATTATTTTTACAAAACTAAAAATTATATAACATATGTATTTATATTTAAAAAAAAATCAAATTTAAGGCCTATAATAAATTTATTTATTATTTCCGATTGTGTAACTATTATTAATTATACTATTATTTTAATTAATACTTGAATTTTAGGCAAAATTATTAGTAAAAACTCCTCCATTATTTTAAAAATTATTCTATCTTAATTATTAACTATTATTAGTTAAACTATATGATACATTTTTATTCTGTTCTCCTTTTTTTTTTTTTTAATAAATTATAGTTTATTTATTTATTTCATTTCTTTTTTTTTATAAAAAAAATACCATATTTTGTATCTGTATTATTAATTGTTTATTATGTATTTGAAAATGACTTATCATTTATGTCGATTTTTCTATTTAATTTAATGAGAATTTATATAATATATTATTTATTACTATTGTTATTATTATTGTTATTATTATTGTTATTATTATTGTTATTGTTATTAATGTTATTATGCTGCTATTTATGGCCATAAAATACCATCTCCGAAAGGTTTTGCTTAATTTTTTTTTTTTTTAAATAAATAGATTAAAATAACCTCTTTCAGTAATCAAAGGAAAAGGCCAATAAACGCAATTTAAGCCAAAAACTTAAACAAAATTATAGTATTTACCTAAATCAAACTTAAAATAAAAATAAAAATAAAAATAAATTTAAAATATGCTTTTTTTTACTAAATTAGTAGTATTTGCATTTGTATTGTTATTTTGTCTTTTTTTATCAAGATTTTCAATTGTTGTAGTATTCTAAAACAATAATTCTAAATGAAACTTAAAAAAATACCAATAACAAAAATAGATGTAATATCAAGTAAAAATGCAAATATAATAATTAAATCTTAAAACCAATATTCTTCTCTTTATTTTTAAAAACCAAAAATAACATTCTAAGAAAAATAGAAAAGAAGCATAAAATTATATAAAAAATATATAAGTATTATAAATATATATATATATATATATATATATATATATTATATTATTATTATANATAAATAAATAAATTAA